CACACTCATCATGAATAAAAATTCAAGGCTGTTGTGTCAACATCTTTAATTTTGTTGGCTTGGCTCAATTAGGACTTGTTTACCATAATTAAGATTGTGATCGTAAGGAACAGGATTACATGTTGCTCTTACCGGAGCAGGTCTCAGTGATTAAGAACAAATCTTGTAATTTCTTCATTAATCTGTGTTCAGTGTACCTCAATATATCATCAATTGAGTAAATTCACCATATAAATTTCTGTCTCTCCACTTCGACGAGACCCGATGCTTTTTGGACTAGATCGTCATATTTAAGACTACAGAATAAAATGACTATATGACTGAAATTAACTCATATGTATATCACTGATCAAATTGCGATTTATTTTCTTAATTTCAAAAGCAATTATTAACATAAATATGATATTTTCATTATTTAATTTTTATTTCTTTTTAATTAGTTGGTTGCCATTGAAAGTTGGTTGGGCGAAATATTGTGGAACGACGAATGAAAAACTGGAAAGAGAAATAAATTTTCAGACAAGTGTGAAGCAGAAACAGAGAAAGTAGCAGATAATGATGGCCAAATGCACCGCAGCTCCTCCTGGTGAAGCTCAGCTTTTCCGAACCCTCAGTGGTCTTCAACAACTGGCGGAAACCCGTCGTTTCAAGGTACCTACCTAACTACCCCCAATTTTTGTTTCTCAAATCGATGTTCTGGTTTCTGATTTCTTCCCATATATTTGTCTGTTGAATTTTTGTTAACTATTTAAATGTTTAATTTTGAGCACAAATAATTTTGCCTGAACCAGAAACCTGGATGCCGACGGTAAATTTTTATGTTAGTTGTTGAAATTTTGATATTTTGCCATTGCACTAAAGAAAGGCCTTTAATCAATGGAATTTGAAGATTTTTAGTCTAAGTACAAACTTGACTCAAAGGGATGGATCGAAGGAGGGGCAACTATCCCTACTGGAACATGCTAAAAAGAAAATACTTAAAGAATTGCCTAATATTTAAGCAAAATCTTTGTTTTCTCTTGCAAAAATTTTACTTTATTTGTAGGATTGCCCCACATTAAACAAAAGTTTTGGACTGTCTTTCTCATAATGTAGGTTATTGCTTAGTGAATTTATGATTTTGTATCAAGCCTCATATTATGGTTTTTAGTATGTGCATTTTCATTTACTGGCATTCATTTAGCTTGTTGTTCTGTTGTTTGAGTAGGCCTGGTTCTTAGATCAATTTGGAGTCCTTCACGATGGCAAACAACCTTATCCTGGTGCAATTTCAACATGTATGTTCCCATCTGTGAGTTTTACCATTTTGGTAACCCTTTCAGCAGAAAGAAGTGTTTGCTTTTTTGGATAGTGATATGCTAATAATTTTTATTCTTAAGAGAAATACATTTTTCAGTCTTTGACAGTAGAAAAATTGGCAACCAATGGTGCCAAGATGGTGATTATAAGTAATTCCTCAAGACGTGTGCCAACAACAGTGAACAAAATGAAGAGCCTTGGGTTTGATCCCTCCCTTTTTGAAGGAGTCATCACCAGTGGAGAATTAACACATCAATACTTGCAAAGGTTTACCAATTTCATGAAAAATAAGTGTTATTTTCAATAGGCATTATGTAATTAGACCAAATTTTTGGGTTAGCAAATTGTGTATATTTAGTTGTTGATCTAAGACTACTCCATGTAATGTTCATATTTTAGAAAGAGCCATTTATTAATTCAATTAAGTTCCTAAAAGAAAGAAAGAAAAATCATTTGTTTATTCAAAATAGTTTTTTGTAACCCTAATGGCTAATAGTTAAGAATTGAAACAATTTATTCTTTTTTATTCCCAGCATTTCTTTTTCTTATTTATGAAACATTCTGTTGTAAATATGATTTTGCATGTTGCCTTTCTTTGAACTTTTGTAACTATACCTCACAAGAAGTTTTTCCTGGTTTCAATTTGTAGGAGAGATGATCCTTGGTTTGCAGCACTGGGAAGGTCTTGCATTCATATAACCTGGAGTGACAGGGGTGCTATATCTCTTGAGGTATGCTACTGTTGGATTGTTTTATGATCATTTCTTTATAATTTTATGTAAGATATAGAGTTTTCAAAATGTTTAATACCCTGTGTCTCAACTCTCCTTTTTCTTCTTTTATGGATATTAGCAATTTAGTAATGAAAAGATGGTTGCTGCTAACAAGGTGGTGAATGTGAGGGAATTAACTTTGCCTTTTATAATTCTGAGACCAGAAATTATTGGACATAAGATGCAAAATGATTCTTCCTCTGGAAAAAGATGCTTGTAGTGAGGTTATTAGGAATTTAGGATGCTCACACTCATGCTTCTTGAATTTGTAATTTTTGGTTTAAATTCAAACAATCTGCCTGCATGTCACAGTGCTACCATGTGATGTAGATATGGATTGGGTGGGTAACAATACTTTGACATACTAATTCCTGAAAATAAAAGATATAACACAGCATATGTACACTAATGCAATGTGGACATATACGCAGGCATAACATTTTCATATTCATCTTAGTTAGCTGTGAAGTGTGCACCATATATTGAGTATGATGTCCAATACTATAAACTAACACAATTTGGATAAGATGGCCCTTTGAAGTAACTTTACATTCTATGTTTTCCCTTGTTCGTTGCTTTATTGAAATCCAACAAAAATGGAGTGATTGGCTTGGCCATAAGCAAATGCTTTATTTTTTGCACTAGCAGTGCTTTACCTTCTCTGTTACTTCTAGATTGCATGCAAGGTTCACAACTTAAACATTTTGATGAGAGCTGTGATACTTATAGTTAACATGATAAAATCTCTTTTAATAGGGTTTAAGTTTAAAAGTTGTGGAGAATGTTGAAGAAGCTGAGTTTGTTTTGGTCCATGGAACTGAAGCCTTGGGGCTTCCTTCTGGCAACATCCGTCCAGTGAGTCTTGAGGATCTTGAGAAAATATTGCAGCAATGCACTTCTAAAAGGATTCCCATAATTGTAGCTAATCCAGACTTTGTGACCGTTGAGGCTCTGGTAAAGATGCCTGATTTAACTTGTTTGATTCTTCTTAGGTAGAATTTGCCAATGCCATGTATGGAGGGAAACACATCATCTAGGCTGGCAACTTTGAACTATAAGTCTCCTAAGCATTTTCTGTGGTAGCACTACTGGAGTTTCTTTTCTGTTCATATGTCAAAGTACCTTTTTGTGGGTTCTACTTTCCTTTGTGAGAATCAGCCTTCAATTATAGCTATCCCCTTTATGGCTTCTTGGTTTAATGGATTAATGCTGGTATCTATGTTTTAGGTACACTGGCTGCCAAACATGAAAAGCTTGGGGGTGAAGTGAAATTGATGGGGAAGCCTGATAAGGTAATATGATCTGTTTCTTATTTCCCTTGCAATATATTCCTTCCCTTCTAACGTTGCAGTTTATCTTTACATCACATGTTTGGGGTTAAAGTGAAATGGATTTCAAAGGTTATATTTACTCTTTTTTAAACTTTCATCAGATAATATACAAATCGGCTATGGCAATGGTTGGTGTGGATGCTTCTGATTCTATAGCTGTGGGTGATTCCCTTCATCATGATATTAAGGGTGCAAATGAGGCTGGAATTGCTTTGGCATTTATCACGGGAGGGATCCATGCAACTGAGCTTGGACTCGGTAGTTTTGGGCAAGTTGCTGATTTATCTTCTGTACAGGTCCTTGCAGCCAAATACGATGCATATCCAACATATGTGCTGCCAGCATTTGCATGGTAGAATCGCACAACGGTATGTGTTCTCCTTTATTCTGTTTCCTTACATTGTTATTATGCCTGAGGACAATTTTTACATCATGCACAAATGGAAATGTTGGAAGGGAAATTGCCCTTACAAAAGAAATGGCTCTTCAAGTAAAAGAGATACTGCTGGTTGCAATGATTTCTTTGTGAATATTTATGTCAAAATTCAAGATTTTTGATGTACTTATTCCTGAATCTGTGAACTGTAAACTTGTCTGGATAAAATGGTTGGAGTTATATGCCAGCCAATAGCGGAGACAAGGGGAGACCCACCCTAATATAAAAAACAAACATGGAGGAGGACCAAGCGGAAGGAGTAAACGAGGAGACTAATTGGAAAGAGTATGCTAGAATGCCAGTGAGATTTCAGGTTAATATCACGGAAACATCCTGGATGGTAGGAGGAGGAAACGAGTTGTCCTTGAGATTTTAAGTTTGCGACATCTTGATTTTTTTATTATTTTTTTAAATTGTGTTTTAAATGTGTAAATTAAGATAATTCTTATTATATAAATATGAGATTCATATAATATAATCTGAATTATATATAAAAATATAATTTATTTTTATAAATTTAT